CCATATATATATATCTGTATATGTATGTATTTGATATACATTGGCATTACACATACATGTGTATGTATTTAATACAGCTGTGAAAGCTATTCAAACCCTTAACGTTCTTTGAGTCCTCCCAGAAACCCGTCACCTCGCCTCTCCCTGACAACTCCTTTTTATTAGATATTTTTATTTTTGTTCTTTATTTCAGCAAGGAGCTTTTCTATGTAGGAAATCAATATTATTGTTTAGCTTTTTTTAATATTTTTTTTTTTTATTTGCTTTATTATTTTGGCTCCCTGGCGCAAGTTGCCATTTTGTTTGCTTTTAATTTTTATTTAATACCATAACAAGGAAAAAACTAAAAAAAAAAAAAAAAAGATATAAGAATATGAGAAGAGGAAATTAAGAGTATTTTTTGTATTAAGTGAGAAATTATAAATAAAATACAAACAATTTGAAATACACAGATGGTATTTTTTAATTTGGGAAACTTTGACCAATTGAAGAATGTATATGTATAATACATGCAAAATGTTGCATTAAAAAATAAACATTTAATTTTGATTTTATTTATGTGTTCTATTCAATTGGGAAGAATTTTTCTGAAAGCAGACAAAAAAATTAAAGACAAAAATATTTAAAACAAAACAGTTCTAAACAAAAACAATTTTTTTTTTTTCATAATATTTAAGCTACACATTTGGCATTAATATAAATTATAATACAGCAAAAAACATTAGGCTTTACAAATTTCTTAATATTTAAAGCTTTGCTTTAACCATGATCTTGAATGATCGCCAAGTGGAAGCTTCGAAAAATAAGATTTTAGCAACTGATACGCCGAAAATTGAGGAAAACAATCGTAGGTACTCCTAAAATAAATTATGCGAATATAATTTGAGAAAACCGGGAGTTAAATCAAAATTTTTTAACAACCCTAACCCTAACAACCCTTTTTTGTCGCCGAGTATATTCTTTCAATTGGAATCGATAACACTATAAAATGAACAAGAGTCCCGATATACAGAGATATCGATAACAATAGCTGCAATGTGCTCAATTGGTCATTGTTATGGAACTACTTATCGAACAATTTTAATTTAAAAAATACATATATACTGAAGATCTAAATGTTCCGAGCTTCAAAATACATTTTCATTACAGAACTTGTATTTTTTTTATAGTATTTTTTTTTTTCGTTAAGATCTAATAAGTTTGAATTTAGATTTCGATTCCGCCACCTAGTTTGAATATTCAGTAAAAAGAAATAGCACATATGGGGATACCATAATGATATGATATGTTAGCACATAAGACAATCTATTCTATTTTTTTTTTTTTTTTTTTCAAATGTATTGAAAAATATATCGCATGCAATATGCGCAACACAATGATCGCGGAACCAGACTGGTTCAAATGTTTTCACCCTCGTTATTGTGATATAACAACGGATGATGGAATGAAATGACTAAGAAACGGTTCCAAGTGCCTCGTGTACGTTAGTGATAGACAAGCGGGCACACTTCCACGATGGTATTTTTAGGTGCAACTCTGCTTCGTAACATTCACAAGTCGTCGGCACTTCGCTTAGCTGGGTCCGCCATTTTACCTCAAAAATCTATAACCCCAGCTCGAATTGCCAGTAACAGAGGTCAGTTGCAATTTGGAATTCAGTTTGTTCGCGAATATTCGAAGCAGTCCAAAATGAGTACTTTACCGCGAGTATTCTTCGATATGACCGCCGATGGCGAGCCCGTCGGTAGGATAGTAATGGAGGTGAGTTTACTAATTTTGCCGGTTTTTTTATTTTCCATCGTTATTTGCAATTTGACAATAGACTGTTAACTTTTTGCAGTAATTTAACATAAGTACGTGTGTATGTATATGTACGTATGTGTATACATATTATCTTGTATACACGTGTGTACATGCATATGCATACATGCATGCATTTTTGTGTACATACACTCATTTTTTACAGAGTTTACAGTATGTTTGCACGAGAGAAAGAGAGAGAGAGAGAGGGACACGTGATTAACTATTTATATTGTAGGCATACTGTGTCCTTTCGTACTCACATACTGAAACTAATTACATTAAATACACAAGTGCATGTTTGTCTATGCATATGTGTGTGTCTATGGCTTCAAGTGGCAATTACCGTTTAGTCACCTTTGAGTTTGTATATACACGAGTACATATACACTTCAATCAAAAATGCATGTATTCATGTACATCTGCATGTATGTATACACACACACCGGGCTAAATGGGCGTGTATGTGTTGAGATAGCACAATTAAAGTTCGCCGCTTATATTTTTAGTTGCCGAGTTGAATATATGCCAAGTAATGCAGCTCATATCACCTTTTTTCTAAGTTAATACAATGAAAAAAATAAGAAGTGACAAAAATGCCGGCATTTGTACATACATATGGATGTACACACAAATCAATACAGGCAAACATAACCTCAATTTCTAAACGTAGAAAGGCTGCTTGTATGTCATGCGATACATGCATATGTGTGTGTGTGTAAGAATACAGTAAACCCGTTTGACTTTGATGAACAAAGTTGATAGAAAGAAATGATTTTATTTTGATGATGTAATTGGCTTACGTCAATTTCATTTTTAAAATATATATTTTAGCATTTAGACAATAGACGATTTCAGTGACATTCCACGCGCCAACTCTCCGCTGCAATTTGCCGTATTTGACTGTGTGAGTGTGAGAGAGCGAGAGAGTGTGTGTGTATCTGTGTGTGCGTGTGTGCATACATGTAGTTTTGGTAATTTTCCGGTCATTGTACACATTATATGTATGTATATATTTATAAATATATGTGCATGCATTTGATTTCATTTGACACTTGTCTAATTTGATTTACTTATTCTTTATTTCGATTTCAATTTTCTAGCTGCGCTCTGACGTCGTGCCGAAGACAGCGGAGAATTTCCGTGCTCTGTGCACCGGCGAGAAGGGCTTCGGCTACAAGGGCTCCAGTTTCCATCGCGTCATTCCAAACTTCATGTGCCAGGGCGGCGATTTCACCAACCACAATGGCACTGGCGGCAAGTCCATCTATGGCAACAAGTTCCCCGATGAGAACTTCCGCCTGAAGCACACCGGCCCCGGCATCCTGTCGATGGCGAACGCTGGCGCCAACACCAACGGCTCCCAGTTCTTCATTTGCACCGTGAAGACCGCTTGGCTGGACAACAAGCATGTCGTCTTCGGCGAGGTCGTCGAGGGCCTTGACGTCGTCAAGAAGATCGAGTCTTACGGCTCGCAGTCCGGCAAGACCTCAAAGAAAATTGTGGTCGAGGACTGTGGTGCACTTTAAGCTGGAAATTCTGCTAAGACGAAAACCCGTTCGCATTTTCTCCAATTTTTTTTTTACCAATTACTGTAATAATATGAAATACACACCATATTTTCAATAGACATTTTATGTTATCAATCAATATACATATGTATGAATATATATTACATATAATATAAGGGGCAACTTTTCAGGTAAACATTGTCAATGCAAGATAGAATCGCACAATAGTGTACCTTACGCGTCTGATTGTAATACCAGCACTACTCGGTACCAAAACGATTCTAAACAGACTAACTAAAAAAATGAAAAAAGAGAAAAGAAAACGAAGAGAACAAAGAAGTGAAACTAACCCAATTGGCGTGACTATCATATGAGATCTAAATTGAATGTTGAATTCAAGCACTTTGTACTATTTGTGTTTAATCCTAAGTGTAACGCTATGAAAATTCTATCGTAATATCTAAATATTGTATGCGCACTCGAAGGATTTCGTGTGCGTCGTTGACTCACAAGGACGCGACCTTCGTGTCCAGTTGTTGTATTTTTCATGCATTTACATATATATACATACATATATACCCTTTGTGATTTGACACGATTTGAAGAACTTGCATTAGCATGAAGTGCCCTCAGTAATAACTAACCCTAACATGTAGTCTAACAACAAGTTAAACCAGCTAACTTACATGGATAACAAATGTTTTTTGAAACTCAATTTTACCAAACGTCAAATTTATAATTTCGTCTTAATAAAGTGAAATTAGAAAAGGAAAATATAAAAAATATAACCAAATCCAAACAGACTTTTACTCCAACTCCAAATGAATCTAAATATTAATATAATATTTTTCAATTTATTTTACAAACATTATGAGAGATGGGTTCCATAATCTGGGAAGCGCGAATCTTGTTCCAAAAATATCACAAGCACAAGATTATTTACTTTAACAATTTTGATAAATTTCATTAACATTTTGTTGATTTTGAAATATATAAACTGAGCTGAGCTCGGTTTTTACAAGTGTAAAATTTAAAAAAAAAATTCAATATATATAATATAGTATATCTTTAAACGTAGTAACAAATTCTAAACTGGATCTTCAGCTTTGGCTCCAACATGGAGCTCTATTGAAAAAAGATTTCCGCACTGCTCAAGGTGGCATAGAGTAAATTGTATTCCTGCTCAAAGGCATTCACGTGCCTCTCGGTGATGGCGACAGTTTGGAGTAGCTTCTCGTCGGTGGCCGTTGGGTGTGTGGAATTGCTCGGATTCTTGGCTTGTGTGGCCAGCGTATTCTTGAGCTTCATGCGTTCGGCATTTAGTTGATGTGTGGTCGTCAGTTGCCAGCCGAGCTCATGGAAGTCGCCCAGCTGATTCAGCATGTTGAGAATGTAGACGAGGCCGATGGCAAAGCCATCCTCGAATAGCGAACACTTTGACTGATCCTTTTTGTACATTTTCAGTTTCTCCTTGACCCGATAGTCGATGTAGTTCATGATCAGAGCGGGCGCGATGAGAAAGAATGTGCGCAGGTGATGATTGTGTGGATTGCAAAGGAATGGCTGGAATCCTTGCATCAATAGCTGTGCAGGTAAACCAAAAATTAGGCATAATCCTAAACGAATTGGAGTTGAAGTAGCTATACCTTAAAGTAGTTGGTGCAGTCCGAATAGCATTCTTTGAGATGTTCCACGCTCTTCTCGTATTCCCTGATGGAACCCATGGTCGTCGGGTCCAAGTCTTTGGCCTCGCCGCGCATAAAGTTGCTGTGGAATCTGGACATAAAGGAGCGGCTTCTAAAGTTGGCGTTTTTGCTGCCCGATTGCAGCAGACGTACATAGCCCACGGCATTGCCTGCAGCCGGATAATGCCGGATAATAAATTTGATTTTTTTTAAAATGATTTTATGAGTCTATCAAAAACCTACCAACTTGTGTTATAACCTTCCTAAATAGATCCATATATGTCTCGCCATTGCTGGATACGCCCAGTTTGCGTATTTTCTTGATGAAGCTCTCGGCCCTCTCGTAAGGATACGATTGGTAGGGTTTCTTATGCTTCTGCTCGGCATGATAGCGATACTCCTTTAGGAGTCGCGACTTAATATGCTCATCGTGCAAGAATGTTGAGAACGTATAGAACTTCTGGCGCAAGAACTGATAGATGAAATTCACGGTCGTATTTATAATGCCCGTGCCATGGGTCTGCACGGAATTGGCCACATGACGCGTTCCGATTATATCCAAATGCTTGTTCCGACTCTGCATCTCCACAAACAGTTGCAAATTCATATTGTAGGCGTAGGAGGAGGCAAACGTGTGGATATTGCGCATTATCTGAAGGACGTCAATGCCCTAAGTAGAATAAAGTAAAGATTTGATATATTAATGGATACGAATTTGGATAATAATTATGAAGTCTGTATAGATTTAATATTAATTATAATAATAAAAAAAAAGAAACAGCTGATATATATAAAAGTTTGCAGTATAAATAGTTATGCTTTCTCGGATAAAAAAATATGGATAAAGAATATGTCTAATATGGATAAAAATACAAATTTGGTGTACTTTTAAACAAAAATCTAAGCACGCATCAAATATTTCGGATAAACATGTCCCAAATGGTACGGATACGCCCTTTTTACAGATTTCAATTTTCAGATGTTCGACAATGTTTGCGAAAAAGGGTACATATACCTATCTAAACCAGTTTATGTCGTTACGGATTAGATTTACATCATTTTTGAGCTCTTATCCAAGCTGTTTTACAATGAATTACACAATACATATTTAGTTACTTTACCTGATCAATTATCTGATTGGGCAAGTAGTCGTCGACAGGCCGTAGTTGTAGTAATTTATTGGCGAGATGACGCATCTTCTCATATGACTTCCAATCGTGAGGCGCAATCGTTGTTAAATTATAGAACGTGGCCGTAAAATAGTTCTCAAGGTTATCTAGCAGTAAGACAAGGTGAGTAACTCTCCACATACATATGCATATAGACTATAGTAATTGTAAACCTTTTAGTATGTTATAAGCGCCGTTCACTTCTGTTGCCGGCACTTTGATGCAGCTCCTGTAGTCGATCGTTGTTTGTGTGAACGGATGCTCCTGACTGAGGAATAGATGGGACAGCGCCTCGACACGCAGCAGATACTCCAGATGATTGCACAGGAAGTCCCGCTCGCAGTCCAGTAATTTCTGTGTGGTCTGGCAGCTCCCATCGCCGAGCTGGAATAAGCCCAGATTTTTGTCCAATTTGCTGCTGGCTGCAAACAGATTCTAATTTTGGAGAAATGTGTATTAGTCAAGGATCGATAGGAGATGGGCATAAAAAGTCGCTGTTCCAACCTGCAGTTGATAGGGATTATGTTGCTGCTGAACATACTCCTTGAGCCCGGCTTCGGAGGCCAGCGCCAACGCGTCGTAATTGCTGATCAGCTGCGTCGCATCGAACTGGCCCAGCATATTCCTTTGCAGGCGACAGAGATTGTGGGTGCGCAGCGAAATGGACTTGAGCAGCTTCTGCTTGTCGGCGGGCAGTGTGCGATCCTTGTCCAGATATTCGCTGAGCGCCAGATTCACCATGTTCAGTTGCCGTTTGTTGGGATAGCCCTTGATGGACTTCTCCGACAATTTCAGGGTGGTCAAAATACTCATCTTCTTCTGCATTAGCTTGAGATCCACAATACTCTTCTTGGTCAGCATGAGGAGATGCTGAATCTTTTGCTTTTGCCATTGCAGCAGGCTGCTCATGAAGCGTATGCACAATGTTTGATTGTCAGCAAAGATCTTCTGCAGCACTTGCAGGTATTGCATGAGCTTACAGATCGTGAATAGGGTGGCCTTGCCTACGGGCAGGTTCAGGGTCAAATGCCGCTTGATGAGGCCGTCGATGAGGTTATTCACCTGGTTCGCATAGCCCTGGCCCTGGATGATCAGCTTCGAGAAGCTCTTCAGCTGGTCAAAGCAGCCGGTCGTGAACACCCTTTGCATGCTGATCGACCACAGGGTCAGTTGGGTGCCCAGTTGGCGGCAGGTCTTGAAATCGTTGCCGTTTATCCGCTCCACTGTAGCCAGATATTGCTTGAGGTTGTCATGTGGCTTGTCCTGCGCCTTGAGCAGCGTCTTCGCGTGCTTGGCGATGAATGCCTGCGGTGACCAATAGACGTTTCGCTCCAAGGACACACGCTGATAGCGCAGCAGTGTGTCCAGGGCGTTCTTCAGCAGCTTGCCATCGAGCAGAATGCCCAGCTGATGCAGCACGCAGATAAATGCAGTGAGTCGCAGCAAATACTTGGGATCCTCGTAGTGCTTAAATTCGTGCGCCTGATTTGCTTCCAGGCAGCTCATCAGCTTGCGTATATAGGCATTGGAATGTTGCGTTATATAATTAACATTGGCATCCTTCAGATTCAGCTGTCGCTTGGTCTCCAGCAAGCTGTGCAGGAATATCTATGGAATATGACAATTTAGTTAAACTATATCTATTTGTTATGGTCTTCTTAGTTTACCCGAAAGATATTGCCAGTTATCACATTTTCTATATCATTGAGCGATGTCTCCAGGCCATTTAGCTCGAAGCTGCTGCAGCGCTCAAATGTTTCGCTGTTCTTGGCCAACGTCTGAAGCCATTTCCTGTAGAAGCTCCATTTGCTCGATAGATTCGACTGCTCGGTGATCTCGTTAAAGGTCACAATGTGCTGCAGCAGCTCGGCCATTGCATCAAAGATATTCTGCACACAAATATGCAAATACAGTTAGCAGTTAACAGTAGTTCATTTACCGTTATATCCTACGATACTCACAAAGAGATGCGCCTCGTGTATATCGATAGCGATGGACGCATAGCTCGTGATTTGCATCCAAATATTCTGGAGCACAGCAATCGCTCGCTTGAGCATGAAATACACCTGACAGAAGAAATCAATGGCCGAACTCATTTTACACAGTATGTGCTCGAGGCTCATGTTCGGACTTATGCCTAGTGAAATTTGCAGAGTCTCTATCTGGTTGCTCGTGCTCAGGAACTTCAATTGCAATTGTTGTGCGATTTGCGTTAAGTCGTTGCACTGATTGCACAAATTGGACAAAGTTGTGAGCGGTTTGTTGGCCAGCAGCTCTGGCTCAGTGAGTCTCAGGTTGAAGAATCCATTTATGCTATCGTTCTCTATGTACTTAATCTCAATAGCCGGCAGCACTGATGTCAACAATTGCTCTTCTGTGCCATTGTTGAGCATTTGTTTTCGTAACAATTGCATTTTGCTATCGTGTTGCTCCATAAATGTGCCATAATCCTTTAGAATGTCTTCGGCAAATATAGCTACATTAGGGAAGGTCAAAATTAATACAGATCAATGTGATTAGATTGCACATTAAGTACATACATAAGGAACTTTGTTTCATTTTGCTGTTTGTAATTTTTTGGAGATTTGACTTTTCTTTGTTATTAATCGAGCCGATGACATATTTTAAATGGGCGAGTTTCATCTGAGCTATCGATATTTGAATTTTAGATATTTTCAAATACCGACTAAAAAATACTACACATTCACTTGTTTGTTTTGACTGATTTTTTTCCTATTGGATTGAGTGTCTGTGACATTTGGCTAAAACTTTAACCGAAATTTATACTTTAAATTATAATCTATAGTTATGATATAATTATCATATAAATAAATTATTGTTTGCTATAGTTAACATATGAGAGATAGTTGATGTGTTGCTTAGAGTTTTTATTATGCCATTTTACTTTAGTGATGAACATGAACTTAAAACATTTAAGATTTGCTTAATAATCTTCTTAAATTTTTTTTTTTGAATTGAAGAACCGTTGATTTTGGTGGAATGGCCGTTTCTCTGGTATTTTTGTGGAACGTGTCCCTTATCGATTTATCATCCTGAGCAGCGTAAGCATCGATATATTTGCATATAAGAATACACGCATACACGCTTAACTGCGGCAACAGCTGATTTTTGTTTTGCGGCTACGTAGCCAGAACCGCAAATCGCACTCGTTGATTCCGCTAGCGATGTGGACTTGACAATGCTCGTAATTTAATTAGGGACGCATGGAATGATTGTAACAAATCTCTTAAAATATGCAAAACGTTTGTAAAGCCCTGCAGGTCATCGGCACTCTGTGTATCCTACTCAGCCTCGCCAAGCAGCTCGTTGGGCAGAAGCATTATTCACGTTCGCGCAAATTGGAGCTGCGGTAGGAGTTATATTTATTTGAATATGATCAGTGTATRTATGTATATGATGTGTGCTTGCTATGCAGGGAGGATGTGCGCCGCATGTTCCAGCACGCCTACGACGGCTATCTCAAGTACGCCGGCAGCTATGATGAACTGCGTCCGCTCACCTGCGATGGCCACGATACGTGGGGCAGCTATTCGCTGACCTTGATCGATGCCCTGGACACACTGGCCACCATGGGCAACTTTACGGAGTTCCGTCGCGTCCATGCGCTCATCGAGAAGATGAACTTCAACAAGGACATCAACGTGTCGGTGTTCGAAACGAACATCCGCATTGTTGGCGGCTTGCTGTCGGCGCATCTTCTGTCGCGTCGCGCCGGCATAGATGTGGAGCCGGGCTGGCCCTGCGCCGGCCCCCTGCTGCGCATGGCCGAGGATGTGGCGCGGCGTCTGCTGCCAGCCTTCGACACGAACACGGGCATGCCGTACGGCACAGTCAATCTGCGGTACGGCGTGCCCAATGGCGAGACCTCCGTCACTTGTACGGCGGGCGTGGGCACCTTTCTGGTGGAGTTCGGTACTTTGAGCCGGCTCACGGGCAAGAGCATATACGAGGAGGTGGCCCTCCAAGCGATCTATGCGCTCTGGGAGCGACGCTCGTCCATTGGACTCTTTGGCAATCACATCGATGTGCAGAGCGGACGCTGGACGGCTCTGGACTCGGGCATCGGCGCCGGCGTTGATTCCCTGTTCGAGTATCTGGTCAAGGGGGCCATCCTGCTGAATCGCCCCGAGCTGCTGGAGCTGTTCGGCGAGGCGCGGACGCCCATTGACAAGTACATGCGGAAGGACGACTGGTATGTGTGGGTGGGCATGAACAAGGGCCAGGTGACGCTGCCCGTCTTCCAGTCGCTCGAGTCCTTCTGGCCGGGCGTACTGAGCATCGTGGGCGACACAGAGTCCGCCATGCGCACGATGATGCGCTACATTAGCGTGTGGAAGAAGTACGGCTTCCTGCCCGAATTCTTTAACATTCCAGCCGGCGAAGCGGCGCCCAATCGCGAGGTCTATCCCCTGCGGCCCGAGCTCATCGAGTCCGCCATGTACCTCTACCGGGCCACCAAGAACCAGTATCTGCTCGAGCTGGGCGAGCACATGCTGGAGACGATCGAGTTCAGTGCGAAGACCAAGTGCGGCTATGCGACGGTAAGACTTGAGCTTGAGATTCCCTTACTGCAACTCATTCCTCTCCCCATTAGATACGCAATGTGGTCACCCACGAGAAGGAGAATCGCATGGAGTCCTTCTTCCTGGCCGAGACCACCAAGTATCTGTATCTGCTGTTCGACGAGGACAACTTCCTGCACAACGCCGGCGACGATGCCCACGGCGTGCTGCTGGACACGGAGCAGAATGTGTGCGTGGTGCAGGCGGGCGCCTATATCTTCAATACGGAGGCCCATCCCATGGACATGTCGGCGCTGCACTGCTGTCACAATGCCAAGGATGACATATTCACAATGCTCGATCTGTCCGCGTTCACGCCGCGTGCTCTCGCCGAGCGCAGCAGCAAACAGCGCCTGGCCGCGCAGGAGAAGTGGAAGCCGCAGTGCCAGTCGTCCAGGCCGGAGTACAGCCACGAGGCAGCTGGCGGTGCGAGCAAGGCACCACCTAGCCCCAGCAYCGGTAGCAGCAGCAGCAGCACCAGCACCGTCCCCTCTCCCCCAACCATGGCCGTGGACATCGAGGTGTTCGATGAGTTCCAGCAGCCGGCGGCGGATGTGCTGGTCAGCAATTTCGAACGGATACGCGAGGAGCGCGAACTCAATCGGACGGATCAGAGCGGCGCCATCGCACGCAATCAGTTGACCGTCACGGATCTGGACGACTTCTTTGGGCAGCGGCGCGAGCACTTCGCCACAGCGCAGGAGGTGCTCAGCTATGTGTCCAGCTTCATGGGCAACTACACCATGGACGTGACCTTCATACGGGGCCTGCAGCTCTTCGATGGCAACATCAGCAGCGTCCTGGGCATTGCCGCTCAGAAGGAGTACGAGAGCCGGATGCGCTCGCTGTGGCAGCTCTTCGAGCTGGAGCAACAGTTTGCGGTAAATGTGCGACTGATTCGCCGCCTGGGCCTGCTCAAGGTGGAGTCGGAGGCCGACAGCGAGATGATGCGCAGCTACCTGGCCAACATACTGGACACGCTCGATCACTTCGAGCAGCTGCAGCAGCAGCAGCAGCAGCTCGCCTCAGTCAACGACAGCGACGTGGAGCTGATCCGCAATGCCATTGAGGCGGCGCGTCTGGACTACGAGCTGGCCATGCTGAATACGACGGCCATGCAGCAGTTCATGCATCGCGTCTATCTGATGGGCACCAACGAGGCGCAGCTGCAGCAGTTCCAGCCACTGCTAAGCGACGAGGAGCTGGGCACGTTGCACGTTGCCGTCAGGCAGCAGCAGCAGCAGCAGCAGCAGCAACAGCCGTCGCCGGTGGGAGCCGTCGAGCAGCGGGAGCGGGAGCTGCGGGAGTTGCTCAAGTATACGCGACGCATCGTGGACTTTCGGAAGCGAATGTCCGAGACGGTGGATCGGCTGCAGACGATAATGCAGGATCTGAAGACGGCCAAGACGGAGCCAACGACGCCGCGGCCAGTGCCAATGCCGCCCATAGAAAACACTGCCACGCCCACCGATGCAGCAACAACAGACCTCGCAGACAAGCAGCAACAGCAGGAGAAGCAGCAGGTGCAGCAGCAACAGCAAAAGGAGCCGCCGTCCGATGATGAGGGCTCCGTGTGGTCGCAGTTGGTGCAGAATATCCTACGGAAAACGACCGTGAAACGCATCAAATTCGATGAGGCCGTGCTCCTGGAGAAGACGCGCAAATCCCTCGAGAAGCACGCCCACAAGCAGCTGTCCTACGAGCTCTTCAGCTGTCGCCGGCCGGAATATATCGAGGCGTTTGCCTACCGTGAATTCTATCCGGATGCGATATGATCTGATCTGCTGTTGACTGATCCTGTAGATAATTAGCCATTATACATAAGTCTAAACATGTATATATACATATATATAGAGTCAGATATATATACATATACATATATATGGTTAAGTGCATATTCAGTTGTTGTCTGGAATTAGCTAAAGCTATTATATAATTTATTAATAGTTGTGTAAACGTCAGCCTAGTTCCATTCCCTTCTCCCTTCCATTCGTTGCCTCGGTTGGGCTCGTTTGCTCGGGCCGTAATTAATTCTGATTGACTGTTGACTTTATTTCCGATTAAATCGGTGTATTTAATGTCTTCGATTAAGCCCAAGGGATTGCACAATCCTTTGGGGCAGAGGCCCGGCGCCTGGCTCCAGCTGCGGGCGTCCACTTTCGATTCCTTCAAGCGTCAGGCTTCCTTCGGCTGAGGCGACGGCACGCAATGCCATTTACAATACCCTGTACATCATTCGAATGGGGTATGTGCAGGCTGTACACTAACTAAACATTTATGGTTAAATAACATCGGATTGAAGTCAAATTAGTTCCTTTCAAATGCATTTACACATGGCGAACTTCTATGCGATTCTCAATATCATTTAAATGGGTGTATAAAGCAGTTATTTCAACTATAGTTATAATTGTATAAATACACTGAAACTAAGTATGGCATAA